ACCTCAAGTTGCTCCAGGAGGGTTTGTCAAGAACATGTCATATTTTAATCCCGAATAAAAATTAATTTATTATTATTATTTATTGTTATTTAAAGGGATAGTTCACCCTAAAACGAAAATTAAGTCATCATTTACTCACCCTGGTGTTGTTCTAATGCCGTGCGCCCTTCTTTCTTTTATGGACCACAAAAGGAGTATTTTTTTTTTTATAAAAATGTCCCGCTCGCGCTCGTCCATATAATGGCAGTGAAAAGCGACCAGCATCAAGCTTTTAAAAAAAGATGCAAAAGTATCACAGAATGATCCCATACGAAATGTGTCGAATATTGCAAGTGTTCTCAGGGAATGGTTTGGTGGAAAAAAAGTATTATTTAATGAAGATCCTGACCTTGGCCGTTGGTCTTCTGTGCTCTACAGAGTGATTCGTGTTATTAGTGCCGCAGTTATTAGTTATATGTGAGTTTATTAGTGCCGCAGTTCACTCCGACTCACCCGGAAAAAGCACACAAGTTGTGAGAAATCAATATTTAACCAAAACAAGTTATTTTTAGCTTTATTTCAATTACTAAAAATTATTTGAATTGTTTTATTTCCAGTTAACAACAACAATACTGGTATATTCATATTTTTATATGTGCATTTATTTGTGTGTGTGCAGTATAAAGCCATCAATCAACATGTTGTTTGGTGTGTTTTCAGGTGGCATGCCATCATTGTGGACGGCCACAGTGTGGAAGAGCTGTGTAAAGCCATGAGCCAACCCCGCCACCAGCCCACTGCCATCATCGCCAAGACCATCAAGGGCAAAGGCATTCCTGGTATACTTCTTCCTAATCTGTAAAGACTGATATAACTATTCCAGGGTTTTTCCTGGGTCATCCACACACACACAGTACAAAGTACCCTACCCATGTAAACTGCAAGCCCAGTATTGATAATAAATCCAAAATATACAATATTAACTTTTCCTATATATTCATTAAATAGAAATAATAATAACTGTCAGGACTAAAAAATACATAAAACAAAGTGCTTAGAACTATTTTATATTTAAAAATCTGTAAATGTACATACGTACATGTTAAGTCACTGAGTAACCGATTTTAAAGTTAGTAATAAAATGAACAACAATTAGTACATTTCTCATTACATAGAAAAGTGGCAAATCTATAATTTGCATTTACACTCCAAGACTTATTGCACAGATCATTTGACAATACAGTATCAGATTGTTTTGTTCCGTCCATTGCTATGGTTATCACTGTCAATCAGTTTAAACAGAAAGTGAGCAAAGATCGCTGCATTATAATCAATGAAGCTGTGTGATGAATCTCTTATTAGCATTGTGTTTATACTTAGTTGGTTATAGTGAAAGGATTGGCGAGTGTGCAGAACTCGTGCTGATCAAAAACTCTGGTGTTTTGAGCGATGTTGAGCGGATTCTGACTAACTTAAACACATCTGATTGGCCATTGCATTCACACGCTCAACAGATTGGCCTATGTCTGTTATTGGTTACATTGCTCAACGCTGCAAAAACACATTGTAAACAGAAACAGTTGGCGCTCTTCACAGAGTGCTTGCTCTCATGGGAGCGTTTTAAAAGCTATCGGCGGGTAACGTAGTGCAGAACAGCAGGTATCGTCACATTAAATGATCAAATAAATCTTTGTAGGGACAAAGATTTATTTTGGAAGCTGACAAAATATTTTGAATGCAGGAAAACCCTGTATTATTTGATCAAAAAAAAAAAAAGCATCACTTTGTTGACCATCACAGTGGCAGAAGATAAGATGGGATGGCATGGCAAGGTGCTGTCAAAGGACATGGCAGAGAGCGTCATGAGAGACATCCAGAGCCGCATCCTAAACAGTAACAAGCGCATGTACCCGACCTCACCCGTTGAAGATGCTCCACCCGTGAGCCTGCGCAATGTCCGCATGCCCAGCGCTCCCAACTACAAGCCTGGAGAGAAGGTGAGAGGTCAAGGCAAGAAAAAAAAAGATGGACTGATGGTTAGATGGATGATATATACAGTGTGTGTGTATATAACTATTATGCAAGTCAATATTCTGATCATATTTTTTTTTTCAAGCTCATTTGACCAATTCCAAAGCATGTCAATATTAATAACTACTATTAATTTTGTATAATAAGTGATAATTGTTAACAAGGGCTGGGAGTGAAAAACGCCTTATATTCAGATGTGCAGGGGGGTTTTTTACAGAAAAAATGGGCCAAAAAATAGATTTAACTCTCACTCGCAATTTCTACAGTATTGCATCCTTCTCATGGACATGGAAGTTAAATCTATTTTTTGGCCGAATAATTGCTTAATTATGCATTTTTATCTGAATAAAGGGGATTTTTCACTTCCAGCCTTCGTTAACAATTAAATATCGCTTATAAATAAGTATATACAAAATTAATAGTAGTTATTAAGATTGATGTGGTTTGGAATTGTTAAAATGTGCTTAGAAAAAAAATGTGACTTCATCACATCGACTTGAATAATAATTATGCAGGCACTGTAGGCATAATTATCATGGTCTGGCTCTCTTCACCATGTTTTTTTCCAACAGATTGCCACCTGCAAGGCATATGGGATGGCCTTGGCCAAACTGGGACGTTACAACGAGCGAGTGGTGGCTATGGATGTCGACACCAAAAATTTCACCTACTCTGAAATCTTTAAAAATGAGCATCCCAACCGCTTTATTGAGTGCTACAGCGCAGAGCAGAACATGGTAGGAAACTATGAAGTATTATCATTCAAATATCTGAAAGATCCATAGTTTCTATAGTCAGGTAGCACCGATTTCAATTCTTACTCTTTTTTCAGCTTTCTACTGCATAGGCAGCCACGTTTGATTGAAAGCCCATTTTGCCAGCTGTGTCGTACCCCTTTAATTGCTACATTTGAGCACCCTTGCCAGTTTTGAGAGCCAAATCAAAGGTCTGCACATTTGGAAGAGCTTAGTGAATGAAAGATCCGTAAACCCTCCCTAGATTGTTCTGGATAAAATAGAGCTGTGGGATTGGCCACGTAAAATGCCCCTCAAAGCACCAAAGTCGCTGGTTTGTTGAATAATACATGCGCTCTATCCATAATGCAGCAGTGAAGATGTGACCCACTTACGCTCCATTTTGCACGCGCCCTGCTGCAGTGCCTTTCCCCGAGAAGCCATGCAGAAAACCTGCACCGCCTTCATCTCATAAGCACATTCTTTAGGATCTGTGCTGTAAGCCAAAATATTTCTGCTTTGTCTCTACAGTCATTGTTCCCTTGGTAGATGTGGTAGGTAAAATGTAGGTCACTCGTTTGTGATTTCTAGTTTTGAGAGGCGATCGTAATGGACGTGATAATAATCTGAATACTAATTAAATGCTCAGAGTTCATATCTGTTCCACACAGTTAACCAATCAGAGGCAATACTGACACATATATTAATAGATCTTAGCGTGCATACTAATGAGGGAGTCATATGCACTACTGTCTGTCAAAAAGGAAATATGAATAGATTTTGAGAGCTGAATGCAAATGTTATAATAGAGTGGCTTCAAAAAGTATTTGGACTCTTAAGCCACATTTTAAATGTATAAATGACATTGCATTAGGAAAGAAAATATACTTGTTTTAAAGAAAAATCGAGCAAATATGTTTCAAGCAAAACTCTAAAAGTTATAAGAACGTGTCATTTTTATTATTATTTAATAATGATTGTTTTATACATTTATATATAAAATTATAAAAAAATTTTTTTTATAAATGTATAACTCCATGCGAGCCTAAGCCACAATAAGGCTATATACACAGTATATATATATACAGTATATATATATATAGCCTTATTGTGGCTTAGGCTTGGATTTGAGACGGGAAACAGGAAATGATAGCGAGTGTGTGTGAGCTCTATGTTGGTAATTCCTCTTATATGAAGGATAAAATGGAGTTCCTGTTTAGCAGATTCCATGTGTCTCTTCTCTAGTATATTACAACCTACAAAATATTGAGGGGTATTGGCTATTAAACTATTTATGTCTGATGCATCTGCCTGTATAGTACCAAATGTCATGCCTTTTGGTTTGGATATGCTCTTGTGGATAATTTCCTTCAGAGAATTTCAAAATAAAGTAGTTCTAGTATACAGTAGATTTTTGTTGTGCTTGGGTTTGTATATGGCTACTATGCACTCGCTAAGATGTTGTGAGTGGGGTTTGCTAGGGTTTTCTGAGTGGTTTCTAGGGTGTTGCTAGGTTGCTCTTATACTGGCCCATGTTAAAAGAGCCAAAAGTCTGATCAGTTCGTAATGTTGCGAGATCAGGATCAAAATGTTTTCACACCATTATCCATCTCTCACAGGTCAGTGTTGCCACGGGCTGTGCCGCACGTGAGCGAAACATCGTGTTCGCCAGCGGCCTGGCTACTTTCTTCACCCGCGCCTATGACCAGCTCCGCATGGCCGCCATCTCAGACAGCAACATAAACCTCTGCGGCTCCCATTGTGGCCTGTCTGTCGGTAAGAAGTCCCTTCTTTTTTTCACAGGCCACAATCAAAGCCCCACCCTCTTCTAACAGACAGGTTCACTCTCCAATCAAAATTCTTCCTTTTAAGCCATGCCCATTTCCAGCACCTCCCATGGAGTGCATTAGTACCCGCCCACTTTTTCAGTGGCCTTGGTTCCGGAAGTATTTTTTCCATTCATTTTACCCATTGGGATTTTTTTAAAAGTAACCAGCTTTAAGGTAAATCACAACATTGCAAACTTTTATTTAAACCAAGATATTATTTGAAAACTTGACAAAAAGACAATGTACTTCATGGTTTTACTGAGGGAAAGAACTACAATCCCATGAACCACTGGGAATGACTAAATCAAATTAAAAACAATTGGAGAAATATAAAACTGTTTATTTAAAATTGTTTATTATATCTATATAAACAATATATTTTAAGTGTAATGCAAAATGATACAAATATCTTAGTATTTTTAACTCGATTACATCATTTGTGGTACTTCATGGGAGAGGGCGTTCCCTGCAAGCTCTTTTGGAGCGATTAGCTTACTCTGACTCTGAATTTTGTGTACAGCATCATGGGTAATGTAGTTTTCCACCACAAATTCAGCTGTTAAACACGATTATTTACAAAACGAAGTTAAAATAACACAGGCTGAAGGCAAACAAAAGCATATTTCATCGGTCAAAACATAACTTAAGAACTCACAGCAGGGCTGTCTTTAAAGATATACAAGTTATTGTTAAAAATATTGTTGAATTTTTACTTCCGGAACCTGACTGTCGCACTCTATTCTCCTGTCTCACACACTGCAGCTGTGACTCTTAACTATGATGTTTTTGAATAGATTTGTGAGCAATTCACCCCTCCTTTTCCTGAAGCTGTCTTTCTAATGTGTGTTTTGTTCTCCTGGTCGTCTGGAGGTGGTGCGACTCTTAGCACAACCCCTTCTCCCTCTCTCCCTCCCCCTGTGTATCTCGGAGGCTGTCTCCGGGTGACCAGGCATCCCCTCCGTTAGCACAGGTACACTGCATGCCACTCCGTCTGTCTGTACACCTGCCTGACTGCCTGTCTGTCTGCTCGACTGTCACATGTGTGTGCACCTGCCTCACATATCTGATGTACAAATGCTGTTCAGTCTAAATTAACAGTGCCAGTATGTGGCTGATGTGTGTGTGTGTGTGTGTGTGTGCTTCAGGACAGGACGGACCGGCGCACATGGGGCTGGAGGACATGGCTATTTTTAGAGCCATCCCCACTGCCACCATTTTCTACCCCAGTGATGCCATGTCCACTGAAAAGGCTGTGGAGCTTGCAGCCAACACTAAGGTTGGCACGTTATATCTGCTATTATGAGTGGTCGAACAATTGTTTATAACTGATGCTGGTACACAATACTTAATATTCAAACAAGATATTTGAACACAGAAAATGGACAGTACATTATTGATACGGATGTTGGTAAATTCTGAATTGAATTGAAAATGCTTTTAATTTGATTTGAGGTAGAATTTAATGCAGTCTAAGAGTGAAATAAACTTAAATAGATAGAAACTTGATAAATAGATAAGATAGATAGTCGGCTTAATGGATAGATAGATAGATAGATAGATAGATAGATAGATAGATAGATAGATAGATAGATAGATAGATTTCAACTCATGAATAGAAAGGGAGACAATTCTAATTATAATCCTATTAAAAACTGTAAGAAAAAGTATTTATATTTAGTTTATTTCTTCCTTTAGGGTGTTTGCTACATCAGGACCACTCGTCCAGAGACTGCAATCATTTACAACAGCAATGAGGACTTCCACGTTGGCCAAGCCAAGGTAACGCCTCTCCCTTTATTAACAATTGATATTTAAAATATGTTGTTTTGGCTTATTATATATATATGTAATGCGCCATAAATGTATAAATTACCTGACCAGGTGGTGTGCCAGAGTAAGGAAGATCAGGTTACAGTGATCGGAGCTGGAATGACCCTCCATGAAGCTCTAGCTGCAGCTGAGCTCCTCAAAAAAGGTAACAAATCTGGAAAAAAATAAAAATGTAATAAAAATAATATAGCTAGATAGATTTGGCCAGTACTGTATATCTTCGCCATGAATAAGAATTTGTTCCCTTGTTTTAGTTAAAATCGTGGCCCCGAGTTAATAATTCACTCCCACGACTTATTAATCTGTTCCCTTGTTTAAGTAAATCATGGCCACATTGTACTTATTCATTCCCTCTTTTAGATTTAACTAAAACAAGGGAACAAATTATTACAATTTTGCCATGATTTAGTAAAAAAATCTTAAAGGGTAACTAAACACTAAACCAACTTTTTTTAGTTAATGATCTGTAAGACTGGGGCTTTATTAGTGCTGTTCATTGATTCGAGTAACTTTTTTGACATTTGGGTATAAAGTGTTTTAATTCTACAATATATGGTGTAAAAACGTCTGAGTGCTGCCCTCTTCAGGTTGAACGGTGACTACTGCAGTTGAATTTTCCTATTGGATGTTTGCGGTAGTTCGTGACGGTAGCGGTGAGAGCTGACGTAAGCAGGTTTCAGCTTACCACGCCCTTGGTACGAGCTACCACGCCCATGGCAGTATAAAAACCATCTTGTTTCGTCAAAACCACTGTAGCGAGTCAGGAGTTGGAATTGCGAGTATTGAAAACGATCAGAATAGATTATCCGTTCATCCCCTCTATCTCCGCTGGGCTCCGCCCACTTTTCCAGCATTTTTCAAATATTGAATGTGGGTGGAGTCAGGCTCTGACCAGGAGTTTAGTTACCCTTTAATTGTCATGTGTGGGGCTCTGTAGACTTTTATTGTGATGTTGCTATGCGAACTTAATATAGACTCTTCACCTGATGTGTGCTGTGTGTGTGTGTGTAATCCCCCAGAGAAAATTTACATCAGAGTGATCGATCCATTTACAATCAAACCCCTGGATGCCAAAACCATCATCGACCATGTGCGCGTCACCAGGGGTCGTGTCATCACGGTTGAGGACCACTATTATGAAGGTGGGTTTCAAGCTTAGACCACATTATCCCTTGTCTCAAGCACACATTTCAGCATGGCTACACATCCAAGCGGCATCAACGGCACGTCCAGCCGAGGAGTGTTGTTGAGTCGCTCTGTGAGGCCTTGAGTGAGGTTGTGGCAGTGTGCAATTGGCTGGCTGGAAGAAACGTGATGTGTTGGACAATTGTCATTGGATTGGGGAGTGAGAGGCATTCTGTTGTTATAATCGGTAGAATTATTTTTTTTTGGGGGGGGTGGGGGCCGTGTCTCATTCTGTTTATTCAGGGGGAAAAAAGACTCAGAGAAGCGGAGGGCTGTCAGGTCTCCTTAAGCAAACGTGTGCCTGCAGGGCATGTTGTGACCTAGATAACACAGACGGCCCTGGACCTGGCATTACTGCCTGCGTGCCAGAGGAGGAGTGAGGCTGGACGAGAGAGAGAGAGAGAGGCTGGACGAGAGAGAGAGAGTTTAATATCCAAAATCATTCTGAAAGCAAACATCCCCTCTGCCCCGCGGGAGAGAAAGAGGATAGAGATGGACAGAGAGAACATGTGATTGCAGCAAGGTTGAAAGCAGGGGCATGCAGGGATGAAGAGATTTGGATAGTCTATCAAGGCATGATGTCTGAAATCTGAACATAACATCTGAATTTTAAAAGCAAAACCTGGTGCAGAAGGTCAAACTGTGACCTTTATGCACAGGTGAATTCTTATTTAAAAACTGGTCTATTTTGCTGGTTTTGGTTAAATGTCAGCTGGCAGCCAGTTAAATCAGTTTGAGACCAGCATAAACTAGAAAACCACCATAGGCTCTTTAAAAAAAAAAAGAAAAAAAAAAGTATACTTTAATTGAGCAGGGATACATTAAATTGACCGAAAGTGACAGCGAAGGCATTTATAATGATTTATGATTTGTTCTTTTGAACTTTCTATTCATCAAAGAATCTTGTAGAAAATCATGATTTCCATAAACATATTTTTAACATTGATAATATAAGTTTCTTGAGCACCAAATCAGCATAAGAATGATATAATATGAGATATATTACTTCTTTTTTTTTTTTTACATGATACAAGCAATGAGATTGTATAAGATTATTAGTCCCAACTTGTAATTTTTTTCTTCTTTCTCATAATTGCAACAATTCTGACATCACAAAGACAAAACATGATTTCACAAGACACCAATGATGTCATTTTCTGTCAGAAAGTAGGGTAATTTTGTGTGGTATTCTTTAAAAATGGCTTCTCATCTTGATATGCTGCACAGGTGGCCTGGGGGAGGCGGTGTGCTCCGCGATCGTGAACGAGCCTGGTTTCACTCTCCAGCGTCTGGGCGTGGCTCACGTTCCCCGCAGCGGCAAAATGTCCGACCTGCTCAAAATCTACGGCATCGACCGCGACTCCATCGCACAGATGGTCAGGAAGATGCTCAGCAGCTCGGCCAACGCCAAGTGAACCTGTTCGCTTTGCCCCGCCCACTCCATCCAAATCCATCGAAAAACCAGCTCCACAAGCACGGTCACATGACTCCTCTTCAGATTGTGACCCTTCCCTCCACCTCTTTCACTGTGAATGACCCTAATGTGAGTATAATAGTAATGTGAGATACGTGCTGTACATTTTGAAGTAATGTTCACATTTGATTTTTCTTTTTTGTTTTCCTTACAAATACACTACTGTTTAAAAGCTCGGGGTACGATATTTTGAAAAAAGAAATCAATGTTTTTATTCAGCAAGGATGCATTAAGTTGATCAAAAGTGACAGTAAATACATTTATAGTGTTACAAAAAAAAATCTACTGTTTTGAATTTTCTATTCGTCAAAGAATCATGAAAAAAATTATCACAGATTCCACAAATATATTAAGCAACAAAACTGTTTTTAACATTGATAATAATAATAATAAATGTTTCTTGAGCAGCACATCAGAATATTAGAATTATTTCTGAAGGATCATGTGACACTGAAGAACATTCAGCTTTGATCACAAGAATAAATTACATTTTAAAATATAATAAAATAGAAGTTATTCAAAATTGTAATAACATTTCACAATATTACTATTTATATTGTATTTTTGATCAAATAAATGCAGCCTTGGTGAGCAGAAGAGACTTCTTTTAAAAACATTACAAAATCTTATCAACCTCAAACTTTTGAATGCTAGTTTACATATAAATACACATGCAGGAGTCCTTTTCTAACTCTTCTCCTGTACTAACAGTATCAAATTAACATTGCAACCATTTTTACTCACGTAATGTGATGTATTTCAAGCCAAACAGGTTTTGAAATGATGGGATTTGATTTTGTCCATCTGGAATTAACTGTTGTAAGACAAACATTTCGATTTTGTCCTGATTTGAAACTCAAAGGTTAGCGATGCTAAGACGTATTTTACACCACCTCAGAAAACGTCAATATGCTGTTCAATGTGACACTTTAACTGTGTTTTTAACTGTCATTTGATAAGATCCAACAATAAAACTGTTTGCATATTTTAATACTTTTTATATTGTTATGGTGTAGCTATGACGACGGGGCGGGGCTGGATTTCACGGGAACAGATACGTGTTTGAAAAAAAGATTTGATGTTAGATTTTTAGGGTGTAGTCTTAAGAAAGAAGAAAAAAGATGATCAAATGAGAATGTCTAAAGGGTGATTCACTTCAAAGTGTTCAGTTAATGGTTGTCTTCTATGAAACCGTTTGTAGTTTGGTCTCTGTGTTTAAAAAGATGGAGTAGTTGTGGTGTTATGAGCATTAAACTTGAGAAGATAAGAGATGAATGGAACCATCAGCGTCACCGGAACGTGCTGTTATATCGGAACTTTGAACTTACAACTAACACTTTCTCTGTTATTTTTCTATGTATAAGTCAATGATTAAAGCCCTCTACATTTGAGTTTGAGAATTCATGAATGTGTTGCCTCTTTTATTCACACTCGTAGGAGGGACACCGGGGATAGTTGTCACAAACTTGAAAGTCAGTTTTGAGCATGCATTTCCATGGCACAGGTCATTTAAGAAGACATAGCGACAATTGGGGCATGTTGTCACACTCTTTGGGGCAAGTTGTCTCAATGGTAAACTGCTGTATATTCAAACAAATGAGAATAAATACATATAAAATACTTACTATTCTAAATTATACTTTTATACAAAGTAAAAAAGGCATCTTCCACAACGTTGAATGTAGTTTTATAGTCTATTTAATAGGGTTTCAGAAAAAAAATTAACTATACTTTTATATAAAGTAAAAAAAAGGCATCTTTACATTATTATTATTTTTTTTTTTTTACACATTATTTGTGTAGAATGTATTCTAGGTTATTTAATAGGTTTTCAGGAGAAAAAAATGTGCAAAAAAAAAAAAAAATAATGCAGCAGTTCCTCCATCTACCAGCAGGAGCAAACTGCTTGAAGGTACAATATGTAACTTTTTTTTGTTCAAAATTAATAAAATTTAAACCAGTTAATACATCATCAATTATTCTTCTAAAACGTGTTTTTGTCTTACCCTGATTCACTATGGTAAGCCTATAAGTGTTTATATTTTAGACCAGACGGGATGGTTTTCACAGGAAAAATATGTCACGTCATATCCATATATAGAGAAAAGTTGCTCCGGCTACTTTGATGCGTTTATGGTGTGGGAGTGACAGGTTAGTTGTCACAAAGAGTGAGAAAGGTTGACATGGAGCTGCTAAATCTCAAAACCACCCATTAAAAAATAGCCAAACAGAGGAGAGTGCTGGCAAGAAGAGATCGCGACCGAGCTCGTAATAAAACCAGAATCAACATGGGCTTACCTTTTAAGAGATGGTGAGATTTGAAGTGTTGTAAAAGTGACGTGGATATGGCGTTTTTATTACTCAACAGGTGAGTAAGGTATTTTATTGAAGAGATCAATTTTGCCATAGCTCGCTAACAGAGTTCATTTTAAAGCATTATCTATTGTGATGGCTCATATTCATCTGCAGAGTCACACAGAGCCGAAGCACAAACAAAACAATGTTCTTCCCCAAAATACATGCAGTTTTGTTTTTAACCGCTAGAGGGACAAAAGTTACATAGTGCACCTTTAAACACAAACACGAAACAGCAAAATGTAAAAGGTAACATAAATAATGAAAAAATATTAGACCATTGTTTTGGAGGCAGATATTGAAATTAGAACAACATTAATTCACATTTGCTTTGATATAAAGTGGATGAATGCACAAATGGACACCTGCAACAGACATTGACAATGATCATATTTCTGGAAATACACGTACTATACTAATAATGATAATGATCAATAAATGACTAATAATGAAATGATCAACAATTTTTCCTTTCTTACCTTTAGTGAACACTAACTTAATTTCAGTCATAGTAACGCCATCTCTTCCTGTTTAAAAAACAGGAACAAATAAAATCTGAACTCAGAAAAGAGCTAGTCCAATAACACACATGATGAATCCCGGCAGTATAGTTCATATGAAAGGTCCAATACATAATCAAGAAAAAGTTCTCACCGTAGAGCATTATATTTGCGGATTGCTCCTCTTAAGGCAAACACAGTGAGGCCCGAGCCACAAGACAGAGTATAAACTGAAAAAAAAAGAAGAACTTATTGCATTAAATACAGTACTGTTTAAAAGTTTAGGGTCGGTAAGATTATTTGATGTTTTTGAAAGAAGTCTCTTCTGTTCACCAAGGCTGCATTTATTTAATCAGTACAGTAAAAACAGTAATATTGTGAAATATTATTACAATTTTAAATAGCTGTTTTCTATTTGAATACATCTTAAAATGCAATTTATTCCTGTGATGGCAAAGCTGAATTTTCAGTTTCATTACTACAGACTTCATTTTGAGGAAAATGTGATATTTTTTATAAATAGAAGTTCATAAGGACAGCATTTATTTGAAAATAGAAATTTTTTAAATCTTACTGACCCCAAACTTTTGAACAGTATGTACTTACAGTACACTAGTAATTCCAAAATGTATCAGAGGCACCATCTAGAAGATGTGCTTCTAAAACTGAGCTGAAAGGAAGAGGTGCAGCGTGGGTTCAGGGCACTACAACAAACCTTGTAATATCTCTGTTAGGAAGAAGTGTGGTTAACATACCATGATAAGACCTGAGATGGAGGATGGTCACAAAGAGAGCCATACAATAACCCCAGATGACATCTGTAGAAAAGAATATATTGTATTAAAAAAACTGTTTTTATATTTATCAAATGGCCTGATAGAAGAATGGGCAACTTAGTAGTACCTTAAAGCAAACTTAAAGTAAATTTACCTTTCCAGTGGTAAGGTCGACCCTTACATCTTCTGGTATGTGCTGGCAAACCTGTTAAAAAAGTCAAAATCAAATTTTCAACATAGGTAAATGGCATTTTAATCCACGTTGTGCATGTATATATTTAGATTATACATTTCACATCTTCCACTTTCCACTCTCATTCATTTTAAAAGTTTCAATAACACATCTTACCAATGCTGGCACCCACACATTCAAACACTACTGTGAAGAACACACCAAGAACTGAAGGCACCACAATGGCTGGAAAAGATGAACATGTTGATAAATTATTGACTTAAAGATGGTGACCCTTAAAAAAAGAGTTCAAACATTTTTTTTGTCATTAAACACTTCAAACAAACCTTTTGAAAGTGTGTTTTCCTCGTGTGTAAGACTTTGTGGATAAAAGAATTATAAGTTCTGTTCACACCATCACGATAACAATAACGATAAAGATATAGTTCTACTTATATAATTATTTTATTTATTATAATAAAATATAATATATATATCTCATTCTAAATATAAACGAATAGCACAGAGAAACGATATCGTTGAAGTAACTTTCAAAACGATGTTTTCCAGCTGGTGAACGATAAAAACAGTGCCTGCGTCCGAAATCGCAAACTTCCCTACTATATATAGGCGTAAAACAGTATATGTGACAAAAGAAGTCTGTCCGAATTCTCATAAAAGAGTAGGCAAAAATTACCCGAATGACCTGTAGTAGCCAACTTCTTCCTGTGAGATTCTGAAGTGTGCACTCAATCAATCTGACCAGTGCACTTTGAGAGTTCAAAAGTAAAAGCTCCAACCCATATTCAGTGTGCAAATTGAACAAAGAAAAATTCAAACCTCTTTTAATTACAGTGTCTGTCTACATTACACTACTACATAATAATAGATATAATATTAATCCCATGACAATAATTGTCATAGGCTATATTGTAAAACAAATGCACTGAAAAATAAAGGAAACTTTCATGAGTATTGTATATTTCTATACTTGAAAGTAAGTTATATATTTGGAAGTAACCCAGGTGGTCCGCCAATTAACCAAAACAAAACAAAACGATTGGGCCACCGATGTACGAGTAAACTTTTATAGGCCGTTAAGACAAAAATAGAAAAATAAAAGTATGAGATGTAGCCTATATCGGCCCAAAAAGCACGTCGGGCCCGCGGGAATCTCCCGGTTGTCCCGATGGCCAGAACATTTGACACCTTAATGGATGAGATGAGAAGACTTACCTCTTACTGGGCTTTCTTTTTATCTTGTTGCTTTCTCCGTTTTCGTCCCTGTGCACCAGAGGGTTTAGACCGCTTCATTTTCGATCAGCGCGCGCAGCAGCCGAGCACTTGCGTAACCATAGAACGTAACGTAACGCAACAACCCCCCCCCCCCCTTTAGGAA